ACAGTAACTTAAAGGTATACACCAATTTTGGAAACGCCCCCCTCTCAAAAAATGAAATGGAAGCTCTTGTTACCGACCATGTGAAAGAATATGTTTTGACTAATCTGTGATGATATATATTTTGCCGAGAAACCGCCTCCTAATTGACATATTTGGTAAATTATCATATCTATCCGGCCTGGATAGATCGCATAGTCCCATATAAATATTTCTGTGTACAGTGCTTGCAACTTTACCAAGACTGGGCCAAATGTCTTATCATTTTGATGATTCCAGAACCTTGGAGTACATGCTATATGATCAACTTTTTCTGATTGATTCCACAACGTTTCTTTTACAATGCATTCGCATGACCAGAATTGATCTATACATGTACAGTACCTTTAAAGGCCCCCATCAGTGTGAATGTTATCGTTTCTTATTGTGTTTATTACTATAATGAATATTATTATTGTAATTGATATCAATGTCAACGTGATCAACATCATTAATATTATTTTGTTTATTTTTGTTTCTTAATTGTAATGTATATTTGAATAATATTTTTTCTTTATTTTCCTTTTTTTCTTCTTTCTTTTTGTTCTTCCTTTTATTGTTACACTGCATAAGGGGTTCATGATCTCCACATTTTCATTATTACATTGAAGAATGATAGATAATCTATAATTTGATGAATCAAAAAGCCAAAAGATCAAGGCTAACACGTGATAAGATTAATTGTTTTAATCCAAGTGATGAGCGAAAAAATCACAAACTGGGGGCAATTTGGGCCAACGACTCTTTTTAAAAGCATCTGAAAATGATGAAGAGAATGCTACTTGAAATGGTACCTAAAAAAGGGCCTAAAAGTTGCTAAAACTGCCAAGTGGTCAGGATGATGGAAGACGACTGGATTTTTACCCCCTTACAGTACTTCCACCACTTACAGTGTATTATGGTACAGAGTTCTGTCAGTGTCACTGCAACAGACTGGCCATGCACCCCCATCGTTACATAAAGTTTCCTTTAGTGAATGGAATCATAGATTGCATTCCCTTCATTAGAAGGCTATGAAGCGCTTAATTCCAAAAGGAGCTAGATCCACTTTTGATGAAAATTGAGTTATTAATATCAGAACTTTGTTCACTGAAGTACCCGTCTTTCAACACAATTATTTCCTAAATTTTGGAAGCAATTATGAAAAAATGCACCTTCTAATATCACTTTTCCTTTAATAGACGCCTGTACAAAATCTGGTAAACAATTTCTTTTTTCTCCGAAGTTAAAACAATGGATTTAGCTCCTTTTGGAATTAAACTCTTCATATTATGATGCAACAACAAATTTAATACGTCGGTAAAGAGACTAAAGCAAAGGCTAATTCAGATGTGATGTCGCAAAATCGCAGCAGCGCTACTGTCAGTAGGCGCTGGTCTGAGAATAAGGATCGTCCGCATATACAAGGATCGTCTTCGTAAACGCAGACAGACAATTGACTGTGCAGAGCGAAATGATGGTTCCTATTTTACAATAATGGCGAATTGAAAATATGAAACTGGCACAGCAATATCTTCATAAACAATGACAAATTCAATCGCAGATTCTAGATCTAGATCTACAGTAGTTATACGTATACAGTTCAACTTAGCCTTAGGAATAACATGACAAAGACTCATTCATTCACACAAAAATCTGACACCCTTACAGGCGAACCAAACCAAGCACAACACAGTCACACAGGCCAGGCACAGAAGGCAGTTCAGCTCAGCCTAGTCCCTCGCCAGCAAGCGCTAGGCACGGCCACGGTTTCGCTCATTCCGATCCCAGATCAGTCGAGTCACGAGCTCGCCCGCTCTACACTACATGCACTGCGCTGCTCACACATAAAAAAAATAAATAACACTAGAACTCACCTTGTAACTGCAGATAAAACTTAGACAAATTTCGGCAAATTAATTTAGTTGGTGAAATCAGCTCCTCTGAAATATATATAACCGTTTTAGTTATAATAAAACTGCAGTCAACGATGGAAACACGAGGAAAACAAGGATAACTTAAGTTCAAAGCTTAATTTCCGGGTTCACTCGATCTAAGATTGGTTGAACATCGCGTGTGCTGCAGATGCTGCTAGCTAGACGAACGGCGTTCGCTGTATAACATGCATGGTGAACTAGCAGCACGCGCACACGCTAATTTCTAAAACTCAGCTAGCTGTCGGCCCTCAACGTCCTAGGCCTTATATTCGGCAGCTCCTTGAAATTCTGGATCCGAGATCTGAAATCTATAACTTGTGCAAATAATTTGTCATTTTTTTCTCTCCAGTGTAGTGCAGCAGATGGCAGATTATACTGGTTAAGTGGATATGAAGAAAAGCAAGGTACCGTAACTCATGCATGATAATATCATGTATCAGCTAGCCTAGAACTTTAGTTTTACTTTTACTTTTATTTGCCCTGTTTTATTTTAGAAGTGACAAAAATAACCGTCTGCGTCTGGTAATCAGGTAGCCTAGACCCTAGGCCGAATCTATGGGACATCCTTTAGCCTAATAAAACTAACTTTCATTAGACCTAGATCTAGACTAGACTTAACTGTTTTTATAAGCTATTCAAAATTAACTAATCACGCTAATCCTACCAACAGATTGGAGGAGTCTCAACTCAGCGGAACAGCCGTCGATTTCATTAGGCTAATTACTAATACTAGTCTAGTCTAGGCCTAGACCGAAAGCTTCAGTCTCTACAATCGTCGGTTGTTCCACTGAGACTACGTCTGGCTCCACTAGACCTCCGGTTATAGAGACAGAACGACTGCCTATGCCAGCCTGTGTTGAACTTATTCCGCTAGATTTTAGCCGCTAGGCCCCTCCCACAAACTTGCCACGGCCGTATAGTTATGCCCCCAAAATCCCCCAAAATGTCATTTTACCTCGTTCATTTCCAATTTTAAATTAGGCCTAGGCTATAATACATCGGTTCCACTTACTAACTTGATTGATATAATCCGTTTAATGGTCCCTTTTAAGGAAATTATCGGTCAAAATCGACATCCATGTTGAAAATCTTGCAAGCCGTGTTAAACTCTCGCTGCCTTCAATCTCATCCCTTCTAGTCTACGCCGAAGGCAAAATGATTATGAAGGAAAAACTGTGCGCCATCTACACGTTCGTAATGGCGTTATCACAGTTTTTCCTTCATAATCATTTTGCCTTCGGCGTAGACTAGAAGGGATGAGATTGACGGCAGCGAGAGTTTAACACGGCTTGCAAGATTTTCAACATGGATGTCGATTTTGACCGATAATTTCCTTAAAAGGGACCATTAAACGGATTATATCAATCAAGTTAGTAAGTGGAACCGATGTATTATAGCCTAGGCCTAATTTAAAATTGGAAATGAACGAGGTAAAATGACATTTTGGGGGATTTTGGGGGCATAACAATACGGCCGTGGCAAGTTTGTGGGAGGGGCCTAGCGGCTAAAATCTAGCGGAATAAGTTCAACACAGGCTGGCATAGGCAGTCGTTCAGTCTCTATAACCAGAGGTCTAGTGGAGCCAGACGTAGTCTCAGTGGAACAACCGACGATTATAGAGACTGAAGCTTTCGGTCTAGTCTAGGCCCTAATATCACTTTAACTTTAGTTTATCAATAGGCCTAACGTTAGGCCATAGAGATTAGATCTAGTAGATCTAGTATAGACCTCTATATCTCAATGGCCTAGGCCTATCAAAATTATCATTATCAAAGTTCAGACTCGGTCAAAGAGTCGAGACTGAACTTGAACTTTGACAGTTTGACTTTGTAATGAAGGCTAGCCTAGAGTAGTAGAGGCTAGACCCTATGGGCCATGCTCTAGAGTTAAGAGGGTAGGGTCTAAGTTAAGTTACAAATTATATTTTTTTAAACTTGATTTAGATTTTAGGCCTAGATCTAGATTTCGGTCTAGATTCTAGAACTCCAAAAAGTCAAAAACGCTTTCTCTTTTGCAAAAATTGATTTGCGCCAAAGTGATGCCTAGACATTTTGTTGGGATTAGCGGAGTGAGAGAATAAATTGAATGTATCAAATGAAATGCATTGCATATGCTTTTTGCAGAAGCTAAGTCACACGCACACACACACACGCGCACAAATGTTTTTTGATATTCAAAAGTTGATATTTGATAGTTTATGTGTGGCATGATTAATTTTGTTAGGGATGTTATTTGGATCTGCAAAGACCGAATTAATAATACCCAAATCCCAATTGTTTTAGATCTATTCAAACATCACACAAGCAACTTTGGCGCAAATCAATTTTTGCACTCTCGCAAACAATGCCTCCTGTTCATCCAAGCGTGAACACCACACAAAAATGATACCAAATGATTTGGGATAAAACACTCTTTTATATTAAGATGTATAGACCCTAGGCCTAATCATTTACTGTACATAAATTATTTTTTAAATAATTAGCAATTTTCTTCTTCTAGGTGTAAACTTTTTTTTGGACTCACACTGTAGTTCAAATTAGGAGTTCAGTCAGCAATTGTCACTGGATTAAATATTAAATTTATGCTGTACAAACTACAATCTGACCATGCACTATCATCCTTTGCTTTCCAGGTAAAAGCAAGGTGCCTATATCAGCCATCAGGAACTGATCTACAGAGCGGAACTTTGACAGACTGTATACATCGTGTGTCTCAGAGAGTAAAAGTGGATTGAATGCCATGGCTCATCACACAAGTCCAGAAGATTACTCGGCCGACCTTAGGTACTTCTCATCTCTTTTCATCAAGGAAATACTGAACAGAATCATCTCAAGCTCTTCATCCCCATCATCTCCCACCCAGCCAGTGGTCTGTGATCCTGCTTATTCCTACATAGACCAGGCAATTCCAGGATGTGACAAAGATAGTGCGACTAATGCCGACAGAATGGTGAATGGTGCAAAGAGACTGCCTCTAGCCAAAAGGGTAACCTTTGGTGAAGATGTTACTGTTGTATGTTATGAACAGACTTCTGAAGGAGAAGATGAGAGCAGAGAGACCAGATTTTTGATGATGGAAGTTGATCCAAAGAAGGAAACTGTCATTGACAAGAAAGAGGAAGATGTTGGAAGTGAGCATGATGATAGAGAAGACTCCAAGGAAGACAATGCAGATGGAAATATATTGAAGAGGAAGTGCATTAGCAGTGTCTTGATAATGGAAGTTGATCAAAAGAAGGAAACTGTCATTGACAAGAAAGAGGAAGATGTTGGAAATGAGCATGATGATAGCGAAGACTACAAGGAAGCCAATGCAGATGGGAATATTTTGAAGAGGAAGCGCATTAGCAGTGTCTTGAAGGATGACTTCTTGATTCCCACTAAGGTCATGAATTCTGAGGTAGGTTCTCTCTTTGGTCACCAGAATGAAAATGGGGCAGAAGCCCATGGGAGCCACTTTCACAGGAATAAGAACATAGCCAAGGTAGAGGCCGACCAAGCAGAAGTGGAGGCCAACCAGTTGGTCAGTAACCCATCTGAAGTGGATAGTACAGTTCAAGGTAATCCAACAGCTGATTCTCTGTGCCATGATGATGATGATACTGTCTTGAATGATACACTTCCAAGTAAACTGTCATCTTCAAATGATGACATCATCGATGATTGCAGATTTGTACTGCAAAGCATTGTGGACACCACCCTCCATCAAACAGTGCAGAACATCAAGTCAGATGAGAACTTCGAGGTAGAGGCCGACCAAGCAGAAGAGGATGCCAACCAGTTGGTTAGTTACACATCTGAAGTGGATAGTACAGTTCTAGGTAATCCAACAGCTGATTCTTTGTGCCCAGATGATGATGATACTCTTCCAAGTGAACTGTCATCTTTAAATGATGATATCATCGATGATTGCAGATCTGTACTGCAAAGCATTGTGGACACCACCCTTCATCAAACAGTGCAGAACATCAAGTCAGATGAGAACTTAGACGGCACTTCAGATACCACTGAACAACCACCTATCAAGAAGATAAAGCTTGCCCTTCCATCTGACCTTCGAACCTCTAAGAACTCCTTTTCCAACTCCCCTGGTTCAGGCCCAGTCTGTCCAGAGGAAATGGAATCTTCTAGCAACCCATCTGAAGTGGATACAGTTTGTAGTACAGTTCAAGGCAATCCAACAGCTGATTCTCTGTGCCAAGATGATGATAATACTGTCTTGAATGATGCTCTTCCAAGTGAACTGTCATCTTCAAATGATGACATCATTGATGCCCTTCCATCTGACCTTCAAACCTCTAAGAACTCCTTTACCAACTCACTTGTTCCAGGCCTACTCTGTAAAGAGGGAATAGAATCTTCTAACAACAATATGCCCCACCTTGTCGACACATCTACTGCAGATGTAAAACAACTGCCTGTCTCTGAGACCACAAACATCAAAGCATGCAGTATAAAGGCCACAGTTTTGTGTGATGACCTTAGTCTTGGCCTATCCTCAGAAAAGGAAAGTGAAAATGGCGACGGGGTTCTGCAAGGTGCTTCAACTGATTCAACTGGTGTGTCTACATCTACCCCTGATGTGATGGCCGATGAAGATAAAGACAGCACAACCGTCATGGAACCAGCAGGAGTGTCTTCAACACTTCTTAAAACAAGCAATGTGAGAGAAAATGACAACCTCACATCCAATGATGACCTTTCGGGAGAAGTTTGTCCGCCCACATCTTCTCAAGATGTGGAGTTAGGTGAGGACGTCCTGAACATCACATCCAAGGATGAGTCCAATGCTTATTCAAGTATTCTCATCCAAGATTTGTACCTTGATGATTCAGTGGAATGTTCCGAACAATCAGAAGCTATCAAGTCAGATTTCCATTGCAACAAAGAAGATGTTCGGCTCCCATCTTCAGCCGATGTAGAAGTAGTAAGATCAGAAGATGTCTATGTAGATGCCATAGAGCCATCTCTTCGAGAGGATATTATGCCTTCTCCTGGATCAAGTGGTGATGACTTCACCTGCACCTTCCAGAAGGCATCCCAGGTGCTTGCCAGCAGTCAGGATGAAATGACTTGCTGGCATGAGTCGAGGAAATGTGATGACCTGTCACCCGAAGACCTTGATCTTATGACAACTGAAGATCTGCAAGTAACACCTTTTGTCTCGGTCAGACAAGAGACGGTGGATGAGGTAGTCGTAGGTGACTGGAAAGCTCTCCCTGATGAAGATGACAGCATGTTAAAGGTACCAGAGATACCTGAGGAAGGTCACCCTGATATCGGCCAAGAGCCACAGATCAACCTTCAATACGATGATAGTAAAGCCAAAGAATCACCTATGGAGGATTCTGAGCATCAGTTCCTGCAAGTTTTGGGGCTGTCCCCAAAACAGAAAATGAATAAATGTGAAGAACAGAGGGAATCTTGCCACAGTGCTGCCTTACCAACATGCAAGATGGACACTGAATTCAAGGATATTGAAGCGAAAGAAGAATATGACCCATGTATTCCACTGCTACATCCAATATCTGGATATCTTGGATGTTCACTAATTGAGAATTCTAGGCGGCTTAATTCCACTTCAAAAGTGGGGATCGTCGCAGAAATGAACAGGGCTGAACTGCTGTACGGGAACCTTGAATGTTCGCCAATTGAGGGTTCTGAGATGGAATCCTCTTCAAGTTTGGAGACAGCTGCAGAGCTGAGCAGGGACGAGGTGAAAGTCAACAATGACCAGACAGTTCCTTCTCTTCAGACACCTGTACAAGACAATCCCTGCATTGACCAACTTCTGGAGTTGGAAGAATCCATCTTCACTGAACAAGGTAATGATGCTTTTATAACAGTGGCATATCCAAAATATCTATTTTCTCCCTGAAGTACAATTTTTTTCAAATTTTCTTATGCAAAAAAGTAAATCTTTCTTGTGTCTTTAGGGTCTAAAAATACAACTGGGGGAGGGGGGGGGGGGGGAGGGGGTTGCACAGTGAGAGGGTTCAGTCATTTGTTGTACTCCATACATGTAAGTACTAATGCCAGATATGCTTTTGGCGGATGGGGATTGTGCGGGGGAGGCTATACTGCCATTTTGAAGTTTTGCTCGCTTTATGATAATACACACTTTTACATCCAAGTCCTATTTTTTTGTGGAAATATTTCATTCACCATGTGCGTCTGTAAACAGTTCTTTCATACTGTTTAGATGCCACCAAACTTTCTCTTTTCATACATCTTTTGCTCTACCGCAGTATGCATCAAATAACAATTACACATGTTTGACCAAATTAGGGTGCGTTCAAGCGATTTTTAAAAAAGCTAGAATCACAAAAATGAATCACAAATTAAAACGCCGTTAAAAAACATGGTTACTGCGGGAGAGCATTCAGGCGATTTTTCATCAACGCTGATTCCTGCTCAATTTGAGCCCAGCCACTGACCCAGTTTGACCCAGGAAGTATACAGTAGGTTAACTTAGCCGCGTGCTTTCTGAATTTGTTTACTGTCGGCCAAACCGTAAGCCGGCCAGGATAATGATGTTATAGAATCATGATTGAGATCTCCGTCCGTTCAAGCGATTTTTAGTGAACCAGGAAACAAAATGCATCTTTTTCACTGTTTCATGTTTGCTTTTTGAAACACGTTTATTTTTACAACCAATGAAAAATCGCTAGAACGCAACCGTGTTTTAAACTAAACTTCTTTGAAAACCCTGTTTCTAGGGCAAAAAAGTGTCGCTTAGAACGCACCCTAAGAAAGGTACATTTAATTTATCAAAATTATTTGACTTTTTTCAACAGATGCCAAGCTCCAGGATGGTCCAATGAAACAAAGCATTCCTGTCCTAGAGGAGGCACCATATATTGAAGGTAAATTACTAAATTGACATTTCTATTACCATTTTCAAGTGAGTGATATAGAATATGTGAAAGTACCTAATATTCCTTTTTTTCCATTTTTAAAAAATCTCTCTTGCTTTATCTCTTACATTCTCTCCTTTTCTCTCTCTCTTTCTTTCTCTATGTATCTACCCTCTCTCATTCTTTGATGGTATCTTTATATGCACATATTCCAATCTCCCCCCCCCCCCTCTCTCTCTCTCTCTCTCTATTTTATCTACCATATTCATATTTTCATATAATGAATCTAATCACGAAACACACATTCATCACAACAATAATAGCATTGACACCTATCCCCACTCTCATATTTTTTCCATTTTGTTCAGACATGGAAGTTAAATTTATTTCTGATCATCTCCAAATAGTGGTTTAAGCTAGTTCATCCTGTCGTGTGAATGGCACTTTTTGTTATGAAATTCACTTTTTGACACCTTGACACAACTCACTTGCATTATTTTTTTCCGTTGTGTTCAGACATGAAAGATAAACCTATTCCCAATCATCTCCAAACAGAGGTTTCAGGTGGTTTACCGCATCGCGTGTGAATCATGCTTCATCATGCAATTCATTTTTCTCACTATTATCCCCTTTGACACCTAACCCATCTCTCGTCATTTATATCATTGTGTTTAGACGAGGAAGATAAACCTGTGTGAATGATGATTAAATATGAAATCCATCTTCCCAGTCATAGTCACACTGATGCCTAACCCACTTTCATTGTGTTCAGAATAGAAAGATAAGTACATGTTAAGTCCCTGGAAGAAGAAAAAAACACTAACCCACCTCTCGCCGTTTATTTCATTGTGTTCAGACGAGGAAGATAAACCCATTCCGGATCACCTTCAAACCTTGGGCCAGCCCGCAGCAGGTGTTTTCCTGTGGAACCATTCTCTTGCGGATCCGTCCCTGACACCCTCTCTCACGCCGGATTGTCAAAGCAACCTTCAACACGCAGGTAATGAGATTCTTTGAAGAGAAGGTCGAGTTCAAATAATCTGTGACACTGCTCATTCAATTTATTCTTAATGCATGTGGATCATGTTCATAGCACTCCTGTCTCATGGAGATAGCAATATTTGCTCCGGAATTATGCTAAAACTAGAGTTATTTTTAATATTTAGACCAACTTTTATTTATTCTTAATGCATGTCGATCATATTCATAGTACCACTGTCATATGGAACTAGAGATACTTGCTCCGGAATTATGCTCATAATTTTTGTAAAACTAGAGGTATTTTCATTATTTGGGCCAAATTTTCATACCATGCTAGGTGTAGTCTCATGTATGTACTAATAGCTGTGTTCATTGTTTTTCACTGTAACTGAATTTAGGCAAGAGTGATGATTCTCTTTCTCTTTCTCTTTCTCTTTCCCTTTCTCTTTCTCTTTCTCTTTTCCTCTCTCACTCTATCACTATTCTATTCTTCCACACTTAATCCATACATGCCAACTGTTCAGATTAAAGAGGAACATTCCTCTTTTTGGGAGAAGATAATTATCATTTTAATGCAGGTGTTCCTCTTCCTGTACAAATTTGTCTGTAGTATTGAATAGGAGAGTTAGGATTGTTCCTCTTTTTTTTGAAAATAGCATAATTTGTACAGATTTCTGATTTTCAAATGTTGGCATGTATGTTAATCTGTGTCCATCCTATGTTCTCTGTTTCTCTTGTATGTCTATTTTTCCTACTTTTTAATGTTTACATTCAATATTTTCCATAACTCATTAAAGGCCTCGTATTTTCCATGTTATTATCTCCTTTTCACGATGTCCAAACAGATATGAAGACATATTTCGTGTTATCTACATCAAATCATTTCATGAATCTTGAGAGAAAGGAAAGTTACCGTAAATCTCTGTGTATAAGGCGCACTTTTTTGCCGCCGAAAAAATTGAAAGTCGGGGGTGCGCCTTATACACAGGTACAGAAAAAAAAAAGTTTTTTTTTTCTTTTTAGTTTTTTAGTTTTTTAGTTTCGATTTATGGCGCTATGCCTGGCAATGTCTCCCAGCTCAGTAATCAGTGTGTTGACTCACCACAATATAACAAATGGTGTACCACAAGGTGCACCGTTGGTACCATATTTACTCTTTTGTTTTTAATTTACATTAATGATCTTACACATTCTTATAAAAACGACATTGTTACTATTATTTGTGACAAGTTCACAAGCACAAATCAGCGCCTTCAACTGCACCTCGATGTAAAATGAAGGTCCTTCCCCGCGTGGGTTTTCGGTAACAAAACAACAACAAAAACTTTTTTTTTTTTTTTTTTTTTTTCCCAAAATAGGGGTGCGCCTTATACACAGGTGCGCCTTATACACGGAGATTTACGGTAATCATATTGCACTGTAACTCTTTGATATTTTGACAGTGTCAGTTATCACCTTCCATTTACCTGTAGATAGATTATGCAACATGGCCCAAGTATTAACAGCTTACATTGTTCTATGAAGACACTGATTTTTGTTCTATACAATGTTTTTTGTACTACAGCAGAAAACCTCAACCAAACCCCGCCCATTACCCCGGTGCGCTCTCTACCAGTATGTCAACGTAAGAGAAGGGTGGGGCTCTCAAGACGCCAGCTTGTGTACCCACTGCATGCAAGAACATTCTCAAGAAAATAGGAACACACCTTCCACCTGCATGACCACGCCCAATATCCTAGTACTCCTTCTATCGGTGTACCAGCATTGGAGGAGGTTATAGGGCTCTCTAGCATGTCTATCCATTACCTGCAAGCCCTCTCAAGAAAGTAGGAACACACCCGACCACACCCACTACCCCAGGAAGCGCTCTACCGGTGTACCAGCATTGGAGGAGGGTGGGGCTCTCTAGCATGTCTATCCATTACCTGCAAGCCCTCTCAAGAAAGTAGGGACACACCCGACCACACCCACTACCCCAGGAAGCACTCTACTGGTGTTCCAGCATTGGAGGAGGATGGGCTCTCTAGCATGTCTATCCATGACATGCAAGCGCTCTAAAGAAAGTAGGAACACATCCAGCCACACCCACTACCACAAGAAGCGCTCTGCCAGTGTCTTATCGTAGACATTAGTTTGTCTACCCCTTACATGCAAAGTAGAAACTTACCTTTGTATACTTATGTATATAGCTGCAATGGGAGTCTAGAATATGATTCTTCATGCCCTTTAAGATTCAGAATGATGAGTTCTTTTTCAGCTTCTGCTAATTTTGTTGCTCAGAAATGTTGAACTAAGGCCTAAAAAAAAAGATGTTGTATCGCCCTTTGCGACCGACCCAAAAATCTTGAAATCTACGGTCAGCTTTTTAAAACAGTTTTTTGTTTTTACCGTTTTTTAGGAAAAAAATGTATCAAAACATTCAAAACTTAGAAATATCAGCCCAAAGAGGGAGTTAAAAAAGATTTCCAACCGACCGACCCATGTTTTGGCACCCAAAGGGCAATAAAACATCTTCTTCTTTTTAGGCCTAATGGAACAGCACTAATTTCTTTTGTCCTACTTCACAAATCATTTTCTTAACCAAGCTAAAAAGAGAATGCAAAATGTGCGTTTTGTTTCAAGTGGAATCAAGTATATAATTTGAATGCATGTTTAACAGTCTTTAATGGTGATATCAATGTTTCCATTTATGTTTTCACCACTGTGGTCATTTAACTTATGTACTGTAGAAATGCACATTTATAGCATTCTTATATGTTTGTGCAAATTGTGTAGTATCTATTAACGTATATATATATATATAAATACTGAGAATGTACATATAGATTTATTTACGTCAGATCTGTTTTACATGTAAATCTGCAAATACAGAGTAATATATATTAAGAACACATACATATAATTTATTATACTAAATGCCAGTTCTATTTCTAGTTCTATGAAAGAACCTGATATAGAGCCGTAAAAGGTGTTTTGTATTATATTATAATGATACATACTTGCCAAACTACTGAATATTCTTTTCAATATGTATATTTAAAGCAAACAAAGATAGTTGATTAGCAATATTGTGTTATAGAATATTTATTCATACAAACCACTACCGGTATTAATTTGTCAGTTTTAAATTGACATTACAGAGAGTACAAATGAGCCTGTTCTTTTCTATCAACTGTAAATATATGTATTTGCCTATATATTGATCGAGGTCATTTTTGGAGGTCCTGATATATTAAATTTTTATGATACATTGGATTTCTTTTTCTTCTTTTTTTCATTTTGTAATTTCGATTTTTAGAAAAATAGAAAATAGAACTTTGGCATTGGAAATATTAAATGAATATTCAAGGCTGCCAGTTCATAGTACAAATAGCTGCGGCAGATCATAAAACTCTCGCAGGAAATAGAGATATTGGCACATGACTTCCTTGTTTCACAACCAGCCACAAAGAACACACCTGCGGGGTCTCTGCATCGGACCAGGATAAATATGATGGATGAGTTTATAATATGACAAACGGGATCGTTTGTCTTTGCCCAATCCCTCTCTCTCTCTCTGTTCCTCCACGAACAAGTTTGGCCAACCGCGGCAGGTGATGATTTTGTGATGATACAACTGAAACTGATCGGTCTCCTTGCTTGGGTGGTGTTGTATTTGTATAGAAATCTTTAAACGTGTCGAGAGAGTACATTTCGATTGTTCTTTAAACCGTGAAGACTTTTTTTAATGTACTATTAGAATATTTTGCAGTATGATTGTTAATTTCATATGCTGTCTTATTTTAATATTGCATATTTTCATATTATAATTATAACAGCATCATTTACTCGTACGTTCAAAACATAACAGGGGCCTAGTGTATTTTTTTCTTTCTCCTCAATCTTATATTTTATTGCAATATGCCAGTATCTTTGAAGATATAACATTCCTCTTTTAAAGCGTATTGAATTTGAAATTGATGCTGCCCATTGTTTACTTTTCGAGGTGACAGATTATACAAGTTAGTCATTTTGAAGCCTACTGACTTTTGAAATGTGGAGCTATTGTTTACATGTCGATATGTTTTTAGTGCCCCTTTTTAACAATGGAAACCAAAGACTATTTGTGTTTGTTGAAGTTTTTAACTCCGTAAAGATTTATTTATTACTGATTTTTTTTTTTTTTTAAAGATTGCTTAGAAATTATTGTTGCGCCATACCAAGAGGACTTTTATCTTTGAATAAAGGTGTGAAAAGTTTAAAATAATTTCTCTTTTAAGGACTTTGTTTTTATTGCAACAGGAGTGATGTTAAAGAGCAATAGAGGCTGGAAAAAGGGAAAGGAGAACAAGAGAGGAGAGAGATAAAGGGAGAAAGAAAGACAGAGAGAGAGACAGGGGAGAGGAAGGGAGGCAGAAAGACCGAGAGAGACAGGGGAGAAGAGAGAGAGGAGGAGAGAGAGAGAGAGAGAGAGAGAAAGGAAGAAAGACAGAGAGAGACAGGGGAGAGGAGGAGTGAGAGGAAGAGACAGAGAGAGAGTGAGAGAGAGAGAAAGGAAGAAAGATAGAGAGAGAGAGACAGGGGAGAGAGAAAGGGGGAGTTTCGATATATATATCTTATATGGTATGATGAAGTAATTCTTGGAATGATCGGAGAGGGGGGGGGGGGGGGGGGGGGGGGGGGGGGGGGGGGGGGCGGTACATAGAATGCACGGACTTGCTGAAAAACAGCCATTGGCTGAAGCAAGTGATCCGTGTTGAAATAAAATAAAATGAAATGAAATGAAATGAAATGAACAAGCTGATTTGCCATCCGGATTGGAGACATTAAAAAAAAAAAAAGGTGAAACAAATCATCAGGTTTACAGCCAAAACCAAAAGAAATTGAAGAGTTGCAATCGATAGTTGAGATTGATACCAAACCAATTTTTTTACAAAACTATATGCATTTAAAAGGCGCCAATGTGAATCCAATTGTAAATACAGCGCTTTGACGAATAAACGTCTGGACTTTTTATAAACACATAATATATGTACAAGGTTTTCTATCATATAGATTAAGGAAAACTTGTCGGTTTGTGAAACTGAGTACCGTGCGGTCATAAAACGATGTTGGCTTATAACCGAGAGTTACTTTTTATAATATTCTGGATAATTGTATAATGCCAAATGAAAACCGATACATGATAATACCACGCAAGAATAGGCAAGGTTGACTTTTATATCAGATTTAAAAGTAATAAATCAAAATGGGAAAGTCGATTAACTCTTTCATCGTAGTTTATTAACCAACGAGTGGGCACCTTCTCTACTTTTTGCATAGAATAATGAAGTACAACATTTGGTATACATCAGTGCAATAAAATAAATATATTTTTCAAAACAAACGAAAACGTTACTCTGTTATTATAAGTTACTATGTATATTGCTGTTCTAAAGTTATTGTAGAGTCGACTCAATTATCGCAATTAATTTACAGCCGGTGTTTATTGCTATAATACACTTTTCCACGATCTGACATAAGGCCTTAAAAAAAGATCCTGTAGGTGCCAAAACATGGGTCGGTCGGTCAGAAATCTTTTTTCTTTTTTCAACTCCATCTTTGGGCTTACATTTCTCAGTTTTGAATGCTTTAAAACATTTTTGTTTTCTTTAAAAAATAAATTCTTTTAAATGCCGACCGTAGATTACAAGATTTTGGCGTCGGTCGCAAAGGGCAATACAACTCTCTTTTTTGTTAGGCCTAAGGGTGGAAAATGTTTCAGTAACTAGACTATTGCAGAACAGACACATTGCAAGGGACAGAATAATTGTAATACTTGAAATATCGAAAATGCATGGTCACTTATACATTTTCACATTTGAATACAGATGTAGTAGGCCTAATCAAAGCTTTAGTGAGTGAGGAATGGCATTTTTAACGTGTTTATGCATGACATTATTAACGGTAAGTAGGCGAAGGAGGTTTATAAATATCAAGAACGGAATAATATTCTATAGGGGGATGGGATGGGGTAACTTCGGGCCCGCAAGTTCCGATAATTGATTGGGGGGGGGGGGGGGGGACTGGTGTGATATTTCCCAGGGCTGAGACTTTGAGAATCGAGCCCAGCAGAGTCGCTTAAAATATTTTTCCCCTGATAATTCTTACTGGAAAATAGTATTTCGGGAATACTGTGGAACCCTCCAAAATAGCTCATTGACTTTGATTACAAAAATTCCCTGACTAAATTTTTTTGTTCCTGTCCCTGTATCCGAAAATGAAAAAAGGGCAACGTACCGAGGGTAGGGGGGGGGGGGGGGCTTCAAGAGAGACCCCCCCCCCCCATAAGGCCGCCCCTATGCCCCTGTTATCACATTCTTGTTTCTTTATAGCCTACACGCTGATTATCATAATTATAAGACATCGCATCCTTAACTGACTATTTTAACGTTTACAATGATCTCCTTAGGTAAACACATCTGTTCAGAAGAGGAAATCTTTGCAGATTTTTGCCGGGTAGGTCTATATTGAAAACTCCAACTATAAATTGTACTTCGCATGCATTTATATCGTCCGATCTCAGCTAGGGGGAATAAGCTGAGGGCTTTGCATGCATACTCGTGTCAATGAAATAAGAATCGACTGATTTGAGTGACATTGGAGTAGCAAGTTTCCTATCCATTCTACTGTTACATCGGCTATGCGAGTACGGATTATTATCCGGAACCGAATGCAACCATTTCACGATGTATTTGTCCCTCGATGTTGTCTTGTCACTAAAAATAGTCGGCAGTTGAATTACAGTGGATAGAACTTTCGATGGAGATCCGGTTACCCGTTCCCGAAATGTAACGTCGGTATCCGAATACGTAAACGTGCGGTCCCAGTTCTGCGTGATGGTTTCGGCTGTGTTCGGATACCATCGGACGTCGCACCGAGTCATTTTGGCCGATTTGCGTTTGACTTGCTCCTCTCGCCGATCGCACATCGGCGCTGGACTCGCCCTGACTCCGGGAAAGTCCGGCAACTTTCGGCTATTCTTCGTAGAATGGACGTATCTGTCTTCGCTATTTTCAGCACCACCCCTGCTGGTGAACAACTGCCTGTATTGCTTGTATATCATGTGTGCCGTAGAACCTTTTGTTGGTGACGTTGCCAAGTTACATGGTGGCAGCGACGTCGGTACGTTTTCCGAAGTCTTTCCGAGCGTTTCGGCTGTTTTCGGCGGATCTTGGTTGCCGAGGGGTGCTTGGATGTTCTCGCTGCATAAGGAGTTGACATGTTGGTTGTACATCTTGCGAGGGGTTCCGTGAAATTCTGAAATAAGGGGCATAAATAATAATGAAAGTATTAGTAAATATCACAGATTTTTTGTAAGAACAAAAACAAGTTCATATCGTTGTCATTGATCATGATTCCATAATTGGCGGCAGGAGAAAATAAGTTCTATTGCCCCCCCCCCCCCAAAAAAAAAAAAAAAAATCACTTTAGAACTTTCGATTAACTCTGTCATTCTCAATTGTTTTTCTTTCAAAAATAATATTTCTTCCGTCTCTCTCTGTCTCTCTTTCTTCCTTTTCCCTTTTCTCCACCTTCGTCTTCTCCTATCCTGTTGTCTCTCTTATCCTTCCACCCTTCTCCTCATCTATTTCTCCTCTGTCTTCATTGTATCTCTCCCCTCTTCAATATAAGTTTCCATCTTTCTCTTACTTATCTTTCCTCTTTTCATAATTTCTAACCTAGCTGATTGTCTTCTCCTTCTCCATCTTCCATCCACCTCCTCTTCTTCTTCGATTCTTCCTCCTTTATCATCTCTCCTTTCCATCCATTCTTTGTTCCCCATCTTCTTACTTTTCTCAGTGTTCTTCTTGTTCTCTTCTCCTCTGACTCCCATAATCACCATCTTCACCATCATCACCATTCTCTTCCTCCCCCTCCTTACCGTCATCTTCCTCGTTTTCCTTCTTCTCTGTCTCCTCCTCTTCGTTATCAAACTTGTCCTCAACATCACCATCATCGTCATCACCACCACCACCATCATAATCGTCATTATCATTACCACTACCACTACCACCACCACTACCACTACCATCATCATCACCATCGTCATCACCACCACCATCATAATCGTCATCATCACTACCACTACCACCACCACCACCACCACCACCACTACCATCATCTTCGTCCTCACCACCACCATCATAATCTTCACCATCACTACCACTACCACCACTACTACCATCATCATCATCATCGTCATCACCACCACCATCATAATCGTCATCATCACTACCACTACCATCACCCCTACCATCATCATCATCATCGTCATCACCACCACCATCATAATCGTCATCGTCATCACCACCACCACCACTACCATCATCATAATCGTCATCACCACTACCACCAAAACTACCATCATCATCATCGTCATCACCACCACCATCATAATCGTTATCATCACTACCACTACCACCACCACTACCATCATCATCATCGTCATCACCACCACCATCATAATTGCCATCATCACTACCACTACCATCATCATCATCGTCATCACCACCACCATCATAATTGTCATCATCACTACTACCATCATCATCATTATCATCACCAGCCACCCACCAAACGCTTACCTGATGCATTGAGGCTGTATCTATTGTAGGTATCACCATATTCGATGGTCGGTAGAGTCAGGCGGAGGGTCTTTTTTTGAGCCTGTTCTCGATCGCCTCCTGCACCGCCAAACAAGAAGTTGCTGTAACTTCCCAAGATTTGCGTACTGAATTGGGCCGACGGGTACTGAATATTGGTTATTGCCGCCATTTTAGACCCTTCCTGCAGCTATTATCCAGAATCAGTCTTTAATGAAGATTGGATTCTCCGTCTCGAGAGAGCGAGATTCCGAAAAGCGAAATACCCTTCTGATAGATTCCACCAAATTATGAATGAAACTGCACTTCTCGCTCCTCGAAATACACAACGAATTGGATTCGGAAATTATCTGTAACCAACAATTTTAATGTTTAGTAGCTATCAAAGGCGCATAGGCCTCTGGTGAAATAGAGGTTGTCAATGCTTTCAAGTCAAAACTCGCCTTGTGTGATTTATCACTACAATAGCTAATCCTAATACAACAAAATCCTTTACAATTTCCCAGGAATGTCACAACAAAATCAACAGAATTTACAGCAAAACACCTTATCAGAAATATCAAAATCATTAACTGTCATCATCGATGATTGCGAAGGCTTCCATGAAGAGAATCGGTAAATGCAACAACAGAGAAGATAATTCTAGTTGAGACATCCAACTCCCTGCACAAGTATTATGATATTTAGCCGGATCCGTCGTCATGAAACTGGTATTAAAACTTTTTCAGCACCTGCGTGTATGACTGTCGCTGTTGTATTTTCCACACGGCACCGAAGATGCGTTGCTAAGCAACGCCACGGTTGGTGATGTTGCAACCTTTCCCCGCAGATGAATTATTTGTGGTATTGTAATGTGTTGGCGTTCATGCACTTATGCCAACTTGGCGCTATGAATAAATTGAATACTTTTGCCTTTTCCAGCTTCCATGTATATTCTAAGCTATTAAAATTAGTTATAAGGCATCATTTTCACTATAGTACTTTTCACCTTTGCCATCATCATCACTTTCCTTCTCAATCTCACTTTCCATTTTCATTTTTTTCATCAAGCATATGAATTGTTTTTATTTGTACTTTTGCCCGTTCTAGTACACCATTTTCACTCGTTTCTGTGTCGGACTTTGTCGTTTTTATTTATTCATATTCTTCTTTTCCCCTTTCGTCTTTTTTCATCTCCAGAGCCCCGTCTTACAAAGGGTTGAGCGAGAGAGAGAGAGAGAGAGAGAGAGAGAGAGAGAGAGAGAAATAGAGAGAGAGAGAGAGGGGGGGGGGGGAACCATCTAGAATTGTGGCATAGATGCCCCCACCCCCGTGACGCCAAATTCGAACATGATGACGCAGTTTCGGCATCATTGAAATTTAATTTATCAACTTATTTGTTTAAACCTATGACTATCACCCGAACATGTCCTTTCACACCTGGCTTGACACCGACTACCATAACATCACTGATGCGACCGGTTACCATAGCAACACGTATACGGATGACGACGATGATGATGCCATGAACTACCAGGAAGAGATGGAGATGAGCTCTATTTTCTTGTTTACTAATGATCACTATATTTGATAACTGCTATCATTTTATCGGAGATTGCATACCTGCACGTTTTTGTCAAACCTTTTTTGCTGCATCCCCAGACATGTTTGGTTTTTATTGAATATCTGAATAAATACAATACATTGAAACCTGTCTATAAAGACCAACCAATGGAGACAAGAAAAACGGTCTTTATAGGCAGGTGGTCTTCGTGTTCAGGTGCCTATAGTACACGTTTTAATGAGAAACCATTTTCAAGGGAAACAAAAATTGTGTTTTTTGTAGTTTTTTTTGTTGTCAGTAAAGCAGGTTTGACTGTACAACACAAACTTCTCAGATTTGGTCGCATCCCAAATCATTCCATGTGGGAAACTGTTTGATGGATATTTTAGGAGGCTATACTGATAATGGAAATTATGAATACCAATCCATTACTCACATTCAAAACAAAGAACAAAAGAATTCCAATCAAAATCTCAGATTCTTGGATTACACTCATTGTTAAAACTCAAACGAAACTTACTTTCAGAAAATCGAGGTCGCATATTTTCGATTTAGAGATCGTTTTAATCATAATTTTCTTCATTTTTATTAATTTTATACTGCCATCAAGACCATTATAGTCAGAGACCCGGAACTAAAGGGGTCGAAGGGCCCTTTGTTAGTAATGTTGTTAGCAAGAAGCGTAATGAACAAAAGAAGAAAGGAAGAAAAATAAAAAGGACGTGGAGGAGGAGGAGGAGAAGAAGAAGAAGATGAAGAAGAATGAATGAGACGAAGGAGAGGAATAAGAAGAAGAAGAAAAACAAGGAAGGATTAATGATTGTGGCTGCAGTTTCTTTCTGAAGCTCTTTTAATTCAATTTCGTGTTTCTGAATAGCGCCATCTCTGAATGAATGGTTGCCCCCTTGAATATTTTTCTTTCTTCATAGAATAAGTTGTCGATATCTTTCTCTGCTTAACTTATTCGCAAAGGGACGGGATGTAAATGATACGGAAGAGGGTAGGGGTGGGGATTCGTTCCTATTGTAGGCCACAAGTTGCCCAATTAACTGCTACTAAGAAATATGCTAGACGTGTTTTCAAGAAATAATGATCGATTTGTCATCATAATTATGAAGCAGAGCAGGACAAAGAAAATGAATATAACATAAGCCAATTATTGTATACTTGTGTACTTTGTATTGTGGTTTAATGAAAGATTTAAAATTGACGGCGAGTGTATTTTAATTTTAATTTTTCATTGAACCATTTTTTTCCTTGATGTTAGAATGTTATAAATCAAGGAAATAATTTGATTTGTGTGTGCATTTAAGCTCTAGAGGCCCTCTAGTGTTTGTTTATCTGTGGATATTATATTTGTTTGTACTCGCCATGACATTTTACAATAATATTTTGCTCATGTTTGTTTAAAGTCTTGAATTTTGGACTTTGATGGAATGGCGTATTGTATTCAGAAAATAAATTTTATTTGATATGTGAGATAAATAAAACAAAATTAAAACAAATCTCTCTATCTCTCTCTCTCTCTCTCTCTCTCTTTCTCTCTCTCTATACTTGTTTTTATCAGGGTATTATCTCTAACCGAGATGGGGAGGGGTCGAGACTCAAAGAGGAAGGGGAATTGGAGAAACTGAGAGAAGGGAGAAACTTATGAGAGATGGGGGCAGAGGGGAAAGAGGGGGTGGATATATATATATATATAAAGTGTAATATAGAGAATGGAGTAGAAGTTTATGTTCGTAGATACAGAAAGAAAGGACCATCATATTTTGTGAGAAACAGAGAAGGTGGGGGAGGGGGGGGGGGGGGTAACGCAAACGTAGAGTTACCCACAGATTTCAATGTCTATTTTTCTTGTGGGATCTCAAATATATCATCAGCGCACCAGACGGAAGGAAGCTATAAGCAACCAACCCCGCAGAGATGGTTCCCCTCCATTAAAACAAGATTAAGCAGTGTGTCGCTTAACAATATACTCAATAAACTATCACATCGTTACCGATGCATCTTTAATCGATAATTTGCCTTGTGCTTCCCCGCTGGTACTATTCAATATTCAATGCTCTGTGTGGACATAGAATGAAAGGAAAGAGTAAGTGTAATAAGTGTAGGCCTAATATGAAAGCCCACCCGCGCGTGTTACACTGATACACTCTCTGTTGCCGTGGAACCAATTATTAGGGGACCTTTTTGATCGGCACTGTATAGACCCCCTCACAGAGTACATACAACGGCTTTCTCATATATATCAAGATTCGGATCTGCAGGAATTGGAATAAAGTAGACGAATTGCAATCAGCTAGTACAACTAAAACAACAGAAGTAGGGAAATATACTCCAACGAGAAAATTTGTTATACTCCAACGAGTGATGTACTTTCGATGTGTCGGGAAGACCGTCCCGTCCCGGCCCGGCAGACATAACTTTCTCAAGTTATGATGGCGCTGCATTTTGTGACAATCAGGAGACTTGAGAATACCTTTTCTTTGTGCGTCTTTTCAGGTAGGTTCAACGTATTTTGAATATTATCTTCGATACGTAAACATAGACCTACATGTATTAAAGATGGCTTAATTTCCAAATTTAGATGAATTTAAATATTTTCGAATTATATCGCTGCATTTTGGGAAAGACTGTACTCAATATGATAACCCTACATTCTGATAAACAAATGCTCTTACGATGTTATCTCATCATAGTTCATTGTCAAGTCTTTTATTTACTGTCAAATTTCGTTCAAAAACGACTTTGCGTTTTCTGTGCGAGATAATACAGATAAACACTGAGAAATAAAGCTTAACATTTGCACACTAAAACGTCAGCATAACCGGAGCTTATAGGGTCTAAATTAAATTGAATATTTTAGGGTTCAACTTTTAAGAGTTGCAATTTTAAATATGCTTCCTTAACCCAGGGGTCAAATTATAACATTTTAAGCTTGAAATGTACACCCTTTTACATGTTTTATGAATGCTGATTTTCATCTTGGTACAAATTTAGAGACATGCAGTCTAAGAGAGCTGCACCCATTACAAGCTTTAATTTTTCTTTATGGCTTCCTTCGTTTTGTCAATATATTTGTTGTTGTACATGATACATGGAGTACCGATATATATATATTGTATTTGTTTATGATTGTTAATGATTCAGAAATAGGTTTGACTTGAGTAGAGTTGAATTGAGTCTTCGTGATTGAATGAGACGAATCTGGTTGGTTAGGCATCTAAAGTTTGCTGCTCGCGAAAGATGGTTCTGTTATGGATAAAACATTGGAGACACGAATAATATTGTGGTAGAGTTTCATAACAGGACCCGATCGAAAGAAGTTAGAGTAGTACTTGCTGAAGTTGACTTGCGTTAGTTTTATACCAAGCAACTGCCATTTTATGTCATGGATTAAACAGTGGAGACACGAATAATATTGTGGTAGAGTTTTAAAACAGAACCCGATCGAAAGAAGTTAGAGTAGTATTTGCTGAATTTGATTTGCGTTAGTTTGATACCAAACAACTGCCATTTTCTTTTTCATCTTTATCACGTTTTGAGTGAGTTCGATGAGAGCGGGATTACCATTGCTACGGGTTCAATAGATCAGCCGGCTATGGGGGGTATTATTTGGAAGACGTAACAATAGGAAGGGGTGATAAACTTGCTTAGTCTAGGGAGCTCAAACACTGAATGGAACAAAAACTTTTACGAACATCTACAGCAAATAATTTCGATAGACGACATTAATTGGAGAATCGTTTCCTTGTCCATCTGGAATTCTGGATACATGGATTGTTCGGGTAATTATATGGTCTACCTGTAATCGTGTAATTATTATGTAAACGTACATTGTACATTGTAAAGCGCTTTGAGAGGGCCTTCGGTCCTGAAATGCGCTATAAAAGAACGAACTATTATTATTATTATTATTACCTCCTTAATTTCTTTTATGCCAAGTCTGAATTTAAATCGATTAATGAAGTTTGGAAATGGATGATTATCAAATATCTTTGTATCAAATTATTTGTCCGAAATTACAAGAAAGAATATTTTAATTAACTGGTTAACCGCCTACAGCACTGCAAATGTTTTAAAATCTCCCCTTTTTTAAAGTTAAAATAAATAAATTGATATTCATAAATAAAGTCCTGGCTGGCAACTTTTTTATGGTAGATAGTTGTTTTAAACATATTTAGTCAAAAGTATTTCGTTTTTTTTTTCTTTGGTAAAGACGAAACCTCGCAGAGTTAATACATAATATAGGAGCAAATCTACCAAAAGGTGATTATCTGCCTAAAATCTCCATGCATTCGAATATTTTTTGCTGGAAAATGACGCTAATATACCGCTAAACGGTGTAATCATACAAAGATTTTACGTGATAGACGGGAGTACGATAAAAAGCTTACTCAAATTGGTGTGGTCTGCGTTAAATTTATTAAATCCGTTTGCAAGATATAAGTTGCATTTTCCGTTCACGATTTCTGTCTGCTACAGAATACCAGCAGTGTATATCAAGGAAGACTAGATCCAGACAATGAAAGACACAAGAAACTAGTGAACCCGAACAATTTATTGATGAGAGTCTCATCATGGACAATGATGTTTACACGTTTCTTACAATGACCATTGAAAAGGCAAAGCCATGGATTGATAATAGTCATTGCCAGACGGGTCTAGAGGGGTACTGAGAGGGCGGGTGTGTGTGTGTGGGGGGGGGGGGGGGGGAGGGGGAGAGTAAGCCGCGACGGATGAGGAGAGACAACTATAGAAGGGATAATAATGGGACTTCGGAGCTGTGGTGGTTGAAGTCAATGGTCGAGTAATAGGGGCATGGAGTACACCCCCTCCAAAAAAAAAATCGAATGGCGAATTTGTTAAAAAAAATTAAACACACCAAAAGACAAAAATAAAAATGAGAAAAATACAAAGAAAAGAGAGAAAAAGAGACCGTGAGGGCATGGTAATTATGAAGATGATTACGACCCTTCCCATACACGAACATAATACACCCTGCCACCCGAAGGCCTCGTTTTCTCGCATTAGTAAGTCCAATGCTGTCCCACCCCCTTAACACCAGTGCCCTTCAATGCCTCAAAATTTGGCTACGCCACTTGTTCCACCCTAACCATGTTCCAACAGAGGTTCCATGAACAACACTTCTTTGGAAAGGCAGAAGAAACAAGTGGATGACCTCCTTCATGAGAGGGGGTCGATAAAGGCAATTGATTGTCCAAATTTTCCTTGAACATTATTGTTCATGGTGGAAATATTCATGAGCTTTGGCTTTGGAAACCTTTTCATCTTCCAGATGTTTCCACTGGGTCCATAGAAGTAATTCATAATTGTAAAAGTCCTCTCGAGTCTGCTCTGTACAGCTTTGTTGAAGAGGCGATCGAGCTAATATTCAATTTTTTCGAAGCTCATGACATGATGATACTTTCAATATTTTTTGTAATAAGTTTTTCCTTTCAAACATTGTATTTCTTATAATTGTCGTGTGATAACTCAGTAATTGTGGACAAGAGGTTAGATTTATGAAGCAACCACAGCTGTAGTTGCATTAAGTGGTCAAATATGCTGCAGGATCAAGGGGAGGGGGGGGGGGGGGGCTGACGATTTGGTAATAATATAGGCCTATATGTCAAACTGGGTTTTGCCCGGGGGGATGTCCCTTATCGTTTTATATCATAATGATCCTATATTCCGTTTATTTTCCCATTATTCAAGTTCCCCACTTGATTAACTTGAAAATTATTATAACTATTGAACAGCTATCATTGAGTGAACAATTTTATGTTGTTATTATATGCAAATATGTAAATCCTACATTACCAATCATGTTTAGCAAATTGTTATTCAAAATATAATTGCTTGGTCGACCATTTCTGTATAGGCAAATGCTCAATAAAATGCTATTTTCTTTTAATAAGTAAAATAGCATCGGACAACTACAGATATTCATAAAGGTTTGCCAGCTATTATCATCATTTCCTTAAGTCACAATAAGAAAGGAATAGGAAGTTCCCGGGCGTTAAGGCAAAAATCCATATTTTGACACCTTTCTCACTACATTATAACGATCTCTTGACTCGTCTTCCAATCAACATACCACTCGAGACTATTATAACAGCGCTCTACTTTCGCTTGATTAAATAGGTTAAACACCTAGAGTGCTCAAAAATATCGATTTTCATCTTGAGGCAAATTTGGAGTACCTATAACTTCAGCCCCTTCGAGTCTTCATTGTAATGCGCAAACGAACGTGTATGTTATTGTCTTATACCGCAACCCCAGTCAGACAGTTGCGACCGATACCGGACCGATAAAAAACTGAACATAAAATTTATAATATACACCGAGTAGCCAAGAAACGATCGGTCACACCGAGACCGTTCCCAGATCGAACACAAACTTACATTACTCGATTGGTGCTGAATCAGTTTGGAGTGATATCTTGGTCACACCAACCAAAAAGACCGACCTCACATCGACTATACACAGCGTTCAAGAATTTATATTACCACAAAATGCCCCAAGAATCGGTCGGTTATGAATTATGAATTGGCCATTCTCGTAACGTAATCAGATTCAATGCACAAATAAATGTTAAGTGCCTCGTTATAAATTAGTTGACAAACCTTTGACAAAATGATAATTGTATTTCAAAAGTCAGAATCCGAATTGCATACATAACGTGTTGGTCGGACAAGTCATAGCAACAACAATTAGGCAATTCGCGTTCTGATTATTGAAATTCATATAAGTATTCCTAACAAGCGAAATACATAATTTGTAACAACAAGACAAAGATTTGTTCATTAAACTTACATTACGGGAATGGTCTATTGGTTTGGCGGTGTGCCTGAGGTACTCATGTTGTGGTCTGTACCGCAAAAGGGTCGCTGGGGTCAAGCGTGTGGGACCGCGAAAGGTAACACGGCGTTGCCACGACGACGGGACGCTGTACGGCTTTCATGTACATTGTATTAGGATTCATGTGCACGGTGGAATCATGTACCATCGATTTTTTTTATAAACAAAGAAAAGGGATTCGGTGCTGGGGCAGGGTGTCAGCTTTCACTTTTGTTCCCCAGTATATGACTATAGTGGAAGTTCACCGGTGGGTTCTTTTGCGTGGGAATAATTTATGATCAGAGTTCGTCGTCATGTCTCCAAATCTCTTTGGATCTAAAGTGCTTCAAAAAGGTTAGAGTTGGGCATTTTTTAATGATTTATGTCAGAGGTCACATTTGTTTTTAAATTCTCTGCGAATCAGGGTCATAATATTTCTATATTCTTAACTTATTACATCGTTGGACTAATTTGTATTCAGAGATCGTCATCGCCATCATCACAATCAGTTATCTTTTGGATCTATAAAGATTCAGAGCTGGGATTTAAAAAGGATCGCATTTGTTTTAAATTCTGCGCGAATCAGGGTCATAATATTCAATATTGATATATTCTTAATCTATTACATCGTTGGATTAATTTGTATTCAGAGATCGTCATCATCACCGTCATCATAATCATATATCTTTCGGATCTAAAGGGATTCAGAGCCGAGGTTCGAGTTGGGATTTTAAAAAGGATCGCATTTGTTTTTAAAATATTGTGTATAACAATCTGACATACTTCCTTTATATTCCTCTGTTCATGAGGCTACCATTGGATTAATTCATGTTTTGAGACCGTTATTGTTGTGACCTACGTATTATTTGGATCTAAAGTGATTGAAAGAGATTACATTCTAATTTCTCATGCGTCATGATATTTATATCTTCCTTTATTTTCTACTTTTCTTCTATTGTCGACGTACGAGTTGCGAGCTTCAAAGCCGATGTGCGAATTACGATTTAGTAAATAAATCGGAAGAATCATAATTGTTTTCCTTAGAACCATTCCAGGATCATAATATTCATACTCTCTATACTTATACCTGTGAAATATCAATCGTTGGATTAGTTTGTGTTCCGAGATCGTCATCAACTTTTTACTTCATACTTCAAAGAGGTAGAAGTTTGGATAATATTCTTCATACCGGAAGCAAGTAGGATATAACTTTTGTTTAAAGTTCGGCATAATTATAAAAATGTCATGAGTCATGATGATTATGTCTTTTCTATGGCTATTTAGTCCAAATTGTTTTTGTTTTTGTTTTTTTACTCACCGTGTAGGTAGGTAGCTTTTTAACTTTCTTAGAGAATATTTCAGTCTAGGTCTAGGCCACAATAGACAGGTTTAACTGTATTTTGTCCCATGCCTCACAGATTATTTGAACTATTTTAGTAGGCCTATATCCCGATGGTTGCACATTATAGGCATATATACCTTGGATTAGACTATCTATAAATCAAAATTTTAATTTTAATTCTAATGTTATGGGTTAGATGGATTTTATCTTATTTTTCGTTCGTTTGTTCTTTCTTTCTGGACCACTATGAATAACAGAGCCATCCTTATAACGGTCTACATAGAGCAATCCAATCGTATTCTGTTTTAAGAACTATTTATTTATGTTAATGTTATATATGGAATACAAACTCAAATCAAACCTGTTTATTGTCTATTACATTTCATAGTTTACAAATTTAATAAATAGATCCCCCAAATACACACAGTGTGCCTTGGAAGGCTGTTCTGTACAATGATGTTCATGATACAATGGAGACATCACGGTAAAAGTAACACTAATAGAATATAGGATCAACGTGGACATTCTTCAAAAGATAAGGCGAAACTGGGAAATCTCTTACTCTGCTTTATTCTCTTTTTTTCCTCAAGAATAATATCCCCATTTCCCCCTCTCTCTCTCTCATCCCTCTCTCAGTAGTTCCATTATATCTCTTGAAAAATAATCGTAAACCTAAGTTGCAGATTAGCAGACTGAATGGAACTAAATCCGCGTGATCCGATCCCACATCGAATTCATTAAGTTGTTTCATTAAATCGTTTGTGCAATAAAAACATGATTAAATATGTATAAACTCTTTCCAATCTCTCTCATCACAGACACAAATCTAGAAGAAATCCGTTTAACTCTCAATTAGTTGCAGGCATACAATTACATAGGCTGGCTCTGACTTTAGGGCTGAAAGGGATATTTGAGTTTTGGTAGAAAGTTCAGTATTAATCAAACTGAAGTTTAGTAGACAAACTCTTCACCATTACATTAAAAACTCATAAAATTATTACTGCACCATGCTCGAAAGGTATAAACAAATTACAAACGACTTAGTAATAAGCCTGTTAAAATTAAAAAGAACCGGTAAACCACATGAGGGCATTCTGTAAAAAGTCATTGGTTTTAACCATTTCGAAAAACGAAATTGGGAATGTATGTTTTGTTAAAATAATGATTAAATAGAGAGATCATCGACAACTATTTAAAAACATCTGTTTTAAAAGTGTAAGCATTTTTTGTGTCTCTCAACGGCTGGTTCAAAAACTATCATATATAAAAATTAAAAAAATTGTGGGACCCCACAAAATATAAGATTTCCCGGCGAAATTCGCTAGATTGTAATTCCAATCCATTTACTTTGCTTTTAAGTTAGCTCAGATCAGCTTTGCCATGCCATTTATCATTCAACTTTCCCGTTTTTGTATTCTCAATTTGGATTTTCTCATTTTGTTTCAACTCCAGGTGTTTTTACGGAGCTTATGCTAACTTGACATATCTGCGAGGAAAGTCTAAGAGTCAACAGCAATAGCCGCATCGTGATACGCACCGGGAAACCATTCTTTCATCGTCATCGTCACCACCATCTTATAGTTATATTCCTGCCAACAGTGCGTGACATCATTACTGGAATGAATTCCTTTTGGGGATCGCGTTGACTACTACTTTTGAAGAAAGTTATAATAGGCCTTCTTTTGTTTAGGCCCTGTTGAAATACTTGCATCGATCATGGCTACAGAGGACAAGCAGATTCAGTACAGTCCTCAGGTAACACCGCGATCAGCCGCTGGGTCAAACGGTGATGACGAAACAGGCGAAGAGGTCAAACCAGAGGAACAACAAGTTCCGCAAGAAGGGTTAACCCAAGCCGAAGAAAATACGACCACTGAGCCGAACGAGTTTGAACTTCCATCGGTAACAGGCAACGATGTTGAGACTGGTGGGTCCAAAGTCGATGGCCCCAGCGAGGCCAAGGAACAGATCACACTCGTTCTTCCTTCAGTCGCTGGGTTGGTCCTGCACCCAGAAAAGGGCGAAGTTGGGAATGATGGACTCACCGAGAGCGTCATTCTCGATGATGACAATGAGGAAGAACTTCACCTACCGCACATTGAAGTCAGTCAGTCGGGGAAACCTTCGGGGGAGGCGGGCCTTCCCACTTGGAATGGCGACGCGGAATCGCCCACCATGCAGCTGTCCCAGAAACCGCGAAGGGAAATTACCGCCGAGAACGCGCATCCGAAGTGTTTCGGGAACGTCGGCGCGGCGGGGTTATCGCGTGTATTCACGTCCGGCAGTTTCTGCCCTGAACTTTCAATTCGCGCCATGGCTCCCAAAGTTCCATCTAACGACCTGCCTGTGGAATACAAGCCCTCACTGCCGAACTTTAGAGAGAGAAGCAAACATGTTGAGAGGAGCAGGACAATTCCGGATATGCCGCGGAGGCAGAAAGATACCTTCAAGATGCCCGAAATACGGTCATCAAAAGTGTCCCTGTTTGCGCGGGACGGCGAACGAGCAAAGAATCTTCAATTTGGTCCTGCTTCCACGTGGAACTTGGACCGGTCTAGGACTGATATGAACGGGAGCAAATCCAGGCTCCGCGAAAAACTTCAGGAAGAGCAGAAACGTCCAGAAAGCGAAAGCGACGAGTTAACGCCATCGGAATCGGGTGAGATGGGACAGAAGATTCATCAATGGTTTAAGAAAGACCGCAAGAAAGATTCGAAGAACAATGGACACGGCAACGCTAGGAACTCAAAACGCTCAAAGAACATGTGGGACGCTGGAATACAAACGCGCGTACATCGAGGACTCGCCTCCTCCATGATCAAACCGAACGAAAGTATAGGGAACTATTTGAATGATGTAACGTCAAGCCGGTTTCCTGAAGTCGAGACCCGGCAAATCGTAGCAACGAAATCATGAAACGGTACAAAGTTAAGCATTACTCATTGCGTTGGGATATTATGCATGTTGCACACGAGGCGTTTTGTGGATTACGAACTACTGCACGGTGCGGCCTTAGGTCCATGCTCTAATTATTAACGTGCCACGTACCAAAAGTAAATGCACAATTGTCATTGTTCTTAACATAATCTGAAGAAGAAAACAAATCTTTGGATGGCTTCTGACAGTGCAAGGTTAGCTCAATTCGAGCATATTGTTTAACTGTTTCATTACATACTAATACGCAATCATTGGTCATTTACGTTTCTTACAGTGGAATATAATTTGCTAGAATTTTTTTTAAACATGGATTTAAAGTACTCACCCGAAGAAAATTCACTGATAATTATGGACAAATTATATATGGATGGAAAGATTTTCTCTTGAAAGACACGAATAATTTGCTGAAAATTAGATATCATGGAAAGGCGTAAAATGCAATTTTGTGGCTAGCAGTGTCTCGCATGTGACGTCACGAATCTTGACGCTCTACGGAGGACCGCTGAAAATCTTGATCTCAAAATTAACAGTTTTGAGAGATGATTACTGCGGACCCCAAACATATTTTGAAGAGGGTAGTTGTTACATTCGATCAGTAAGGCTTCCCCTTCGCAATGGTATTAATTTTGCATCAATGTTCAAAACACTTTTGATCCTTCAGGTGACTACTTTAAGCACTTAAATAATACAACGCACATAATTTTGTCACTCGCTCTTCTCTTGCCACGGGAATGATGTATTTGGATGATTGTCTTGGAACTATGGAATTTTTATTTATGCTGTGGACCTTTCCCAAATGATCTTGTGATCTCAAATTTCAATTACTACTCGTGGGCAAGGCCAAGGTATTTTTTATTCATATATAATTATTATTGTCATTATCATTATTATTAATATTATTATTTTTTGTTTTTTGTTGGGGGGGGGGGGGGGGGGGGGGTTCTCATTTTGATGTCCCATATTCGTTACGAAGAATGAATAAAACTTCTAGCAAACAACATCGCAAGTGGCATTTTTCTTGATGTTAAGTCTGGTCCGAGCTCTATCTAGTTCAATACAGTGTGACCCATTAAAAACGGACTAGCATATTTCCAATAATGTGGGGCGAAAATCACTGGTACCAGTAGATAGAGAACCTGTTTCGATGTGAAATGTTACCAACATTGCTAAAGTCGGTTGAGTATCTTTTTAAATCATTATTATTATCATTTATTCATTTTTAATTCTATACCCATTTTTTTTTGCGAAACAATGTCGGTGCCATCTACCGGCAGTACCCCTTGCAGAAATGATTTTAGGAAAAAAAAACCTGTATCAAATTTGTAATTGTTGGTATCATTTTTCATGCAAAATGATTCTCTTTATTTTGTACCCGCATATTTGACCCCACATCAGTGGAGGCACGCTTGTACGTTTGTATTGGGTCACCCTGTACAGGGCTTTTAACTGGATAGGATCATTGGGTATACTTAAACTTTAGGTTTTTTTGTAACATAATGGGGCAAATTACCTTGGACTTTTCCGTAATACGTTTTACAGATAGGACAGTATATGATTATGCATGTACATATAAAGTCTGTTATGCTGTAATATTGAAAAGATAACATCGCAATAGAGTCGATTATGTATAACGATTTGATGTAAATGGGGAAAAGTTTTGAAATACTAGATCTCACTTGATTATGCTGTGTCCTTTATCTCAATAAATTATTCTAAAAAATTTAAAGTTAATTCTCTACTAAAAATATATCCAGTTTTAGAGGAGTTAGGCACTTAGTCGAAATCATGAAATAATCATATCTGTAATCATAATGGTATAATATTATGTCTGCATTGGTCTAAGATATATCCCTTTGCCATAGTGTAATATGTGACAATGCATTGATCCTCTCTTACATTTTTTCTCATGACCCCCCCCCCCCCCATTTTTCTCTCGCCCCTATATCTCCCTCTCCCCTCTCTCTCTCTCTCTCTCTCACACACACACACACCCTCTCTCTCTCTCCCTATTTCTTTCTCAAGTTCTCTATCTTTCTCTACATCTCCTACCTTTCTCTCTCCCTCCCTCTTCCCTCCTCTCTCGCTAGCTGTCATTGAAGTTTTAATTTACATTCAGTATTTAAAAAGATAAATTGACAGTTCATAACGCTGTACGTTTCTACACCCGTTTTTTTTCTTCAGTTACACAAGGGCTTTAAGATGTCAAATGTACCAAGTGACATTGCTGTATAACTGCACACTTTTGTTTCATTCAGCTTCATCTTGCCTTTAACATTTGTAATCTTGCTTTATAATGAGGTACTATTCTAATACTCTAATTGATTTGAAGTGGATTTGTGGAAATGACGTCTTTGCTCCAAACTAATTATTTTTGCCAGTATTTTTTTCTTTCTATTAGGACCTGAATTGAAAGTGCAAATAAAAGTTCTTGTGATGATAAATAAATTCTGGTGTTTGTCTTTGAATAGTAATGCATGTTTTGTGAAAGAAAATAAATATGTCATGATTGAAAGTAATCAGAAGTATGATTAAATCAATAAATACAATTATTTTGAATTATATATTTTGGCACCAAGGCCATCTCAGAGAGAGAGAGAGAGAGAGGGGGGGGGGGGGAAAGAAAGATATCTATATATATAGAGAGAGAGAAAAAAAAAAGAAAGATATATATATAATATATATAGAGAGAGAAAGAAAGATACATTAAAAAAATATATATCGAGAGAAGATATATATATATATATATATATATATATATATATATATATATATATATATGTGTGTGTGTGTGTATACAGAGAGAGAATGTGGGTGTGTGTGAGAGAGAGAGAGAATGAGAGGGGATCAGTAAAGGACTGGGGAGAGAAAAAGAAGGTACCGCGGGAAAGAGAGATGAAGACAGATAGTCAGGAGCAGGTTTACACAGGATGAGGGGGGAGAAAGAGAAAGAAAGAAAAAGAAAGAGAGAGAGAAAGAAAGAAAGAGAGAGAAAGAAAGAGAGAGAGAAAGAAAGAAAGAGAGAGAAAGAAAGAGAGAGAAAGAAAGAGAGAGAAAGAGAGAGAGAGAGGGGGGGGGGTGGGGGAGTTTAGGACACTCTCACTCTGAGTTTCTATTCACATCTCCCGTTCGTAACTGAATACACATGTGATGTGATGGATACAAAATCTTTTCATTGTGCGAAACTGCTGATAAAAACCCTGATAAACCAGTTTACTAATGCATTTAAATTGTACCCATACTCCATTGACAGAGAAGGCGTTTCTTGACCACAAACTGAGGTTTTCCAACATAGCAGCAAGCAATTTACATGTATGCCATGTATATTTCACCCAATGAATTCTGCCAAACAGAACACATGAACAACATCGTTTGTCGAACATGGTTGTGGGAAGTAACAGTCCACAAATTGTATGTAACTATAATAATCTAAATGGTCTATTATATCAGTCACTCATCTATCATCAAGGCAAAACACATGAATTATTACTAAAATGACTTTACAACAACAGGGGGGGTGTTTCACAAAGACTAAGCTCGACTTTAAGTTGGAATTGACTATGGCGGGCCGTTCATGCCCGTTTCCTCTCATCATTTACTGGCATTTGTCTCTCAAGGAACGTACAAATCCTGGTCACAAATCTACAGTTTCAATAATTCATTATTGAAGGATAAGATATTATCTAAAGTTTATAATGGTGAGAGTAAACAGTGGCATGAATGGCCTGCCATTAAAGGGATAGTCGAGTTCTGTTGCAGAGGGCGCTAAAAAAAATAATTCTGTTGTGAGATAATGACAAACATATAATTTAAAAGACAAAATCATCTTTGTTTGATCAAAATCTGTTCAGAGACGGCTGAAATATTCATAAATATAACGATTTCTAATACTTGTGTACCACCACAAATATTAGATAATTTGAAAAAGCTGTTTGAAAAAACGAAACAGCGCCTTTTACGTCGTATTTCATCCAATACCAATATTGGCTTTTTTGTTGGCATTTTTGTGTTGGTTATATTACGCACAACCAGCCGGCCCAGGTATTGTTATTTTTAATTAAATAATTAATCAACGATCACCATATTTTTTTGAAAGTGGAGCTGAATTGGTATGATCGGATTGGCTAAATTTCACACATTTTGGGGTCTTAAATTACCTTCATAGCAATTTTAGGTTCTAAAAGGGCACTAGAAATGTCATAGATAAGAATAAGAGCAATAACGATGCACTTTGAAGGCATTTGCGGTCTGAAAACAGAACTCAACTATCCCTTTAAGCCCAACTTAAAGTCGATCTTAGTCTTTGTGAAACACTCCCCAGAACAGAAGGATCCCGCTGCACATATAGTGGGCTATATCTTGAAATAAGTCTCTATATTTTCCTCATTCACAGCAACACAAACCTGAAGACATACCGTAAATTTACAATAAAAGTTGATAGAGCATTCAATTTCCATAGACAGATTATCCATTTGACATTGGTTAACAATATCTTTCAAGGTGCAATATTCAAAGTTAGTTAATGAATACATTACTACAATAAATGTTAGGGAAATATTCAAGAATAATCTTTTACAGACAAAATAGAGAATATAGGAAAATATTGAACAATGTAATAAACTTAAAGATTTGAAAGCTGCATGCATTGCTCATCAAAAGTAGTTTTCACTTGAAGTACCTAGCTAATGTACCAGATGTACAAGAAATTATTTGCTGCAATGACAATTTTTCAAACAGTGAATCCCTTTAATAAACAGTAATATCTAGTCATAAACAATGTAGGTAGATATGTCAAGCAGCATCACAAATAAGATTAATGAAATAACACCATGTGTTAATTAATATCCATAAAACAATACATTGTTCATTTGTATTTGTAAATTAAAGCTCATAAACCCAGATGATCAAACATAAATTTACTCTCCAGTTGTAACAGCCACCGGGGCTCTGTCTTATACAAAGTTGTGATGGTCCAAATCAATCACAAGTCCTCAAATCAATCGCAAGTTTGCAGTCTCCTATCTCTTATGTACATAGTTGCGATTGATATCAATCGCAAAAAAAAGTAGCTATTAATTG